CCCCACCCCGCCCCAACTCACTGAGTAGGCTCAGATTCATAGCGCCAGGGAGCTCGTCACCAGAGGAGAGAAGTAGAATCGCTGTCATCATGAACTTCATTCCAACAAAGAGCGTCTTTCCAAAGTGAATCATGTTTGTTTGTTTGTTTGGGGGAGCTGATTTGTTCCCAGTGGGAGGCTCTGCTGGGAATTTTCCTACGGGATATCTCTCTGGAGTGAGAGAGATACCATTTCAGACCCAGAATATGGTTAGACAGAGAGACATTCGTATGTAGGTAGATATTTAACAATAATCATGATTTTGTTTCAGGGGATAAAATGCTACCTCTGATAGTCCTGATGGAAAGAATACAGTCTGCACGAATAAAAGTCCATCGCTCACATTTTTCCATCACTCAAAACCTCAACTCACTGCCATCAAGGCAATGGTGACTCCTATCTTCCCATTTAGGGGCTGTTTTCAACGTACGCTTGCAAGTACCAGGGCTGACAAATTATATCTTAGAAACCCTCTGATTTTGCACCGCCCTTTTCTCTGTGTCACGTGACCAAAACAAGGGGAAGTCACGAGAAAAAGTTGAGTCGCCCTGAAGTCACTTAGGGTGGAGGCGGCCGGCTGCTGAGTTAGGGTGCTGCTGGTGCCCGCCATTCAGTTCCTGGAGATGACGTTTGGAGGGGATTGCCTCACCCCGTAAACGGCGGTGGGGACGGCCACTCTCTCGTCGGTGGCTTTAATTGCCGCGGAGAAAACAAATAACTCCGAAGAGGGGAGTGCGCCATTCGGCTGATATTTGGAGCAACCTTGAGAGTGTTTGTCCAAAAATGCAAACAGCTCCCACTTCCTTGCCGTCCAACGTTCTGACTGACAGCAGGAGCTTTTCAGAGGAAGGCATTTACACATCTGGGTAACACCTGGCAACAGGAGGGGAATGTTCCGTATTTTTAAAAAAAATTTGAAGCAAAGATCAAAACACGAAAATATAGACGTTTCAAGACTGGAATCCAACTCGAGGGAGGAGCCACTCTCCAAGAGGCTGTAAATCCACTCGGATCGCCCCGGTTGGTTCCGCTCTCCGAGGGCTCCTGTTGGACCCGGATGGGTAGGAGGCTAGAAGGGCCCGGTGCCTACCGGAAGCAGATACGGTCAAGTTAACTAGTGCTTCTAAGGCTGGGGTTAGGGAAGATTTGTGAGAACTGGAAAGACCTACTGTGGCTCCCCACCTGGACGGACCTCAGAGGTAAAGAGCCGCCTGGCGAAGCCAGGACCCCGACGAGGTCGGAGGGAGAGGCTGTTTTCTATCCTTGTCGGCTTCCTTTCGGGCAAATCTGCCGTCGCTTTACACCCTCTACTTCAAACAAAGCGCAGGTGTGGACGTGGCTCCCTGGGGACTGGCGCGTATATGTGTGTGTGTGTGTGTGTGTGCGCGCGCGTGCGTGCGTGTCTCTCCAGGGGTTGGCCCCGCAGCAGAGACTGTGCGAGCGAGCCGGGCGCCGTTCCCGCCGAAGCCCCGCCGCAGGTCCCCCACTGAGGCG